CCTTCCTTCCTTCCTTCCTTCCTTCCTTCCTTCCCTCCCTCCCTCCCTCCCTCTCTTTTTTCAGTCAAGGCAGCAAGCTTTCTCACATCCTTAAGAAGGCAAAAGGGATTGTTGAGCAGAACAGCTCTGTGGTCTTCCTGTGGGGAGGAGAGGGTGGGTGGATCTGCCACGACATTAATAGAGTGTTGACTCTGAGTGCAGAAAGGCCAGAGTTAAGTTCCCCAACATCTCCATTTATAAGCTAAACAGGCTGGAAAAATCCCCTACCTGAAATCCTCTCTCTGTCAATCAGAGCTGCTAATATTTGGCTTGTGGGACTGTCATTCCGGCTTGATAAAATCATATTGTTGAAGAGTTGATAAAAGAATGACAGCTCCAACTTTCTATCTCAAACAGAGGAAGCGGGGGAAACGTGCGCAAATACACAAATAAACGTGCCCCAACCCCAATATTAGTTTCCAGGCCAGAGAGGCTGAAACGGAGCATAAAGTTGGGTCAGATGCTGGTTGGATTAACCCCTGTCATGGAGCATGGTGGGTGAATGTGGTTTGTTCGGTCTGGGCGAGGTGCGATGGGTGAATCCAGCCGTGGGTTTTGAAATGGCTGTGCTAACTGGGTTAGCCCGTTGCATGACCTGGGAACTGTTGGTGGTTCAAGAAATGAAGCAAAAGGCTTGTGCACACAGACGCCCCCCGCCCCCCAAGAATTTCTAACCGTCACACTGGGAGTGGCAACAACGGCAAAAACAGCACATTTGCCTGTCTACCTTTGTTGATCTGGTTACACCTCTTATTTGGATGTAGATGTCGGTTGTAAAGCAGGTATCTTGTCACTGAGCTATAGATCTTCCATGAAGTTTCCTCTCCATTTTTATTGTCATAGCAATGCTGCATCATGATATTCTGTTGCTGTCAGGAGTGGGAGGGGGGAGGTAACTCAGCTAGTGAATAATCTCTCTCTCCCTCCCTCCCTCTCTCTCTCTCCCTCCCTCCCTCCCTCCCCCT